GAACATTGTGTTTTTTATGACCTCTATTTGAATAGCAAAACAATTAAATGTAGATATAGTGATATTAATGTAAGTAATAAAATAATGTAATTTAAATATGAATTATAGTTACAGCATTTCGCTGAAGGTACTTATACATTTTTGTTTGATAGACACATTATATCCTCATAAAGTAAACGAAACTTATAACAATATTTGTTATTAATTACCAAAGTTGCCAAGAAATATAATTATTTGTATTTTTTTAAAAAAAAAGATAAAATTAGTAGATATATTTCAATGCTGCAAATTAATACGACGGTAAAGGTTCCCTTATAAAGCTTAAGACATTAAAAACGAAATAGTAGACAATAAAAGTAAACTAACTTTTTAACGGAAACAATTTATTTTCACCTTTAGGAAACATTTTTTTATTCGGTTAAGCGTTAACAATGATATTTAAATATACAGGATGGCTGATTCATCAAAGTTCCTGTTTGAAGTAGGTACAATACATATGATACGTACCCAAGATAATGTATTAACCTACAGAAAGTTTTAAAAATGTTTGAGATTAGTTTTTATTTTTATTACATATATTTCTCGAATTAGCATATTTTACATAATATCATTATGCAGACTCACTTTAATTATATTTTTTTAATTATATTTCAAGAAATTGTGTTCAACAAAAAGGTATTAAATACATTTTACATAAATATATAAAATATAAAATTATACAGCAGTCATATAAAAAAAGGCGTAATATTATACCTAACATCAGTATATTTACTTTATGATTAACCTACATAAACTCTAAAAATTGGTAAATATTTTGAATACGAATTGTTAATAAAACTAATTGTTAATAATGCCCACTATTAATTTATTATAGTGAAGGGCAATATTAAATGTCGTATATTGTATTCTTATTACGAGTCATTAAATGCGTTTGTCATGTGTATATTTATGTATAATGATAAAAACAAAATGGTTTTAAATTTTACCCCATCAATGTTTACAAGTTTCTTAAAATATAATCCTTAACAATACATCACAATAATTAACTTAGGATCGCATGATGGATACACGAGTATAAGTATTAATTATAAAAATGGTGTGTTATGCCAAGACGATTATTATTTTGACGATTGAGAACGTTTTGCAACTTTCCGATGGCTAGGAGAGGTACGCTGTACATAATAACGTATTAATACAGCAGCGATAAAATAGTGAACATTAATAAACATTATACATTTTGAATGTACGTGCAATCATTTTGGGTGCTTGTTGTAGTGCTCAAGGGATGTCTAATTATTACTAATGGACGATGGTAAATTTGCGAATTGATTGAAAAACCCGTAAAACGTCACTGTCTGCTGTCATCAACAGAGTTAAATTTAAATTGACAAGAATGATCTCGTGTGCAAATCAAAATAGGGGGAGGGTAAATATAGAACAACTACAGTCACGCAAACATATCAATGTGTTTGCGTGGGCGTTTAGTATTTTGGGAAATAAACATCAAGAGTAAACGTTTACGTCCATTAGCCAACCGTACGAAATGTACAATAATATTATAGTAATTTTAAATATTATTATTTATCCTCATCATAATATATCATGTTGTAGACCTGACCTATAGTAAACATTATGATTGATATTGAAATAACCCTGTAATAACCTACAACAAACTTGCAATCACTCGTATTTTTGGTGAATATTTATACATTACATATTGAAGAGGATAACAGTATTATGTTTTCGATGTTAAATCGTAAACATTTTTATAATTAAATATTGAACGACCAACCAATATTTTATCATTTAAAAATGCTAAAGTCTTAGCCTTTTAGGTAAAGTAAGTAAGTGCTGTGAAAATGCAATGATCTATTTTCCTTCTGCAATGCCACCGTCTTATCAAATCTTAAAATTTATTAAAACTATAAATTACTTCTGTTTCGATATTTTATACATTTTTAGAGGCCAAAATGTTCCAATCAAAAGATACGTTACCCACGCTAAATATTTTCTCCATACAAATACAATTGTTGGTTGGTACATAACAAATATGGATACATGTCAAATGTAAGGAATCGTTATTAAATAAACATATACAGTATCTATAATATTATATTGAATAAAAAACAATGAGATATAATATAACGTATAGCACTTTATTTACCTGTTCGGTATTATTGAATTTCATAATAAAAAACTCGCGTTTATACATATATAGGTGCCCACCATAGATAATATTATATATCTACTTATACTTAGAATATTTGAAAGCATTATTTTCTTATTATTCATGTGAAAATATTTTTCGCTAACGTTAGTCTAGTATAAAATAACGAGAAAACATTTTTGTTTATTATGCGTACCACGTATTTTTCTAGTATATATTATGACGTGATGACGGGCGTTAAAAACTTTGCGCTACACTATATAGATAACCTTTTTTTTCCTTCGCGCACTCATCGTCTAAATAGCGTGATGTAGTGCCGCTAGTCCAGACGAAAGCCCATATAACTGTACTCCGGTCCAAAGTTGTCTGGCAACTTTGCCAACGCAAATGGAGTCCTTTAACAAAACATGAACACACTTGGGGCTCCTGTCTCCAAAAAACTTTGAATCGCTGGAATTAAACTGGTTATCCGTAATGACAGATTAGAAAGTGTACAAAGATTTCCTCTATTAAAATACTTATGCTCTTCGAGATAAACATTATTTGAAAACAGAAATAGTAAAGAAAACTTATAATCTCTACCTACTACGAGTCGACGGAAATTGACATTGACGGAGGAAAAACAAATTCCCGCAAATCTTATGATGTGTATATGAAATAACTTATATTGGAAATGGTTTTCAATCTAAACCGTTTTTGAATTTACTCAAAAAATACAAAAGAATCGATGAACACAAGATATTAAGATACCTACCTGGAATTTAAATGTACATGTATACACAAATGTATATATTTAAATATACTTGTAGGTACCTACATACAATGTCGATGTTAATTCACAATGATTTTAAACTAAAAAAATATTTATAAATTATAATATGGTGGTAATATTATAATTTTCCACAGTAATATAATCGTATTTTAAATCATAATTATCATTAAAACAAAACAAAAAAAAATATTTTAAATTATGGCCGATTGTTATCTTTAACTAAAGAGCCTTGTGTATTATTTTGTATTTGTTTATTAGTATTATATATGTATTATTATTATATACTATTACTATTACTGATATAAATGTAAAAGGTCTTACGATTACAAAAGACCCATTGTTGAGACTTCAAACAAGATATAATAATGGCTTGATGTCTGTATATAGGTCCGACAACTGTAATCGATTACGAACAACTAAACATGTGGTATTGTGTTGTCACCGTAATCTAGGTTATATTAATCAAAATAATTTTATTATAAACTAAAACTAAAAAATGAGATTATATATTATTATATATATATATATATATATAAATTAGGTTTGATCAGAAAAAATATGTTATCAGAAAGTAATAGAAATACAATAAATGGTGAACCGAACGAAAAAATAAACCTTAACATTTTGTGCTCAGCATGAAATTGATTATTTTTATTTGTACCACAACAATTATAATAATAATGTGCCCACCAGCAAATTGAATTACTTAGTAAATACTTAGTACTATTTTGACCTTTCCCGCTCGTGAAGATTTTAATTTACGTTCAAATTAAAATGTCAGAATTTAATTGAGAATTGAGAATAAAATAAAAGTCATTTATTTTTAGAAAGCATTTTAGCTTGCTATTATAGTCTATTGGTTGGCTTAAAATAATATTTTTATAGTAAATAAACCTGAACGAATTTCGTTTCATAAACTATTTTTGAAATAAACCCATTTTGAATAAACCATCACTATAATTTTTGTTATATATTGACTATTTAATGTTTATATGATAATTTATAAATATACGGATTTACGACCCAATCCATTATATTAAATTGTAAATTATATATTGACAAATTGTATTAACTAATATAAAAATACATAATATATTCATCTCTTATGAAAACTTTTTTTGAAGTCAATATAGTTTGTTAAGAATAATGTTTATTTGTCAGTCTTCAAGATTTGTTATCAGACATAATTTAAAGTATATGTTATTAAAATCACTCATAATATTATAGTTGCTTAAAATATTATAATAATACATATTTTATATTATATTCCTTCGAATTGGTGATGCAGAACATTAATACCACTAATTCCAGAACTTCAGTTAATCAGTCAAGGATTACGTCACATAACATGAGTTCTCTGAGAAATGGATGATAGACATGACATAAATATAAGACGTGATGACTGTTAAGAAAAAAACGGAGACGTCACCTGTGCTATATAGAACGTTTAAATTATTGTACCTCATAATTGATTAGGTTACTTCAATGGACGAGTTAAATTTGAATTAAATGCATATGAAAATGTATTCTGAGTGGAATGTCTATTTCTAAAGATATCTTATGTAATATATATATATTAAATATTGCTTTTAGTATTTTATTTTCTATTAGTGATGTGGCAGATTGATCTATTTTTAATAAGAACAGTAATTACAAAAACATATTATATATTATTGTTGTACGCGTATCATTAAAATATAATGAAGTAGGTACCGTAGACCAGTATAAATAGGTTCATGATATTATAAATAATTTAAATTAGTATAAATATTTTTAAAAAGTCATTGAAAATATAAAATAATAATTTATAATACGTTATGTTAAAAAGTTTTTACTGTAAATGTATTTTAAATTTCAAAGAAATTACTAAAATTAGTAGGTACAGGAAAAATAGTTTTTTTTTTGTAAATATTACATTTTGTTAAAATTTAAACTTCGAATTCCTATAAAAAAATGTTAATTAAAATAAAAATCTGAAAAAATCTCCTGCCTGTTGTGTGGTCATCACGAACTCCCTGAATAGAGCCGATAACTCTAAAACTCACATAAACTGAAAGGTGAATGTTCGTGGACGTGGCAAGAGTGATCATGATAGATAAGAAAGAAGATGAGCATGCTTCAGAATTATGTAAATCACAGGCGTTAGGAGACAGTACGGTTACGACCATCTGTAATGCAATTCCATCGGAGGAGCCACCGATCAAAGGTTCCTCACATCTTCCATGTCACAGGATAACGATTGCAAGATGTGAACTGAACATAGAATGAGACAAAAGATGAGCTACTTATTTAAACACAAAATATTTGAAGACAACGACAAAAGAGAAGAAGACGCCAGGTCTTAAACTATAATGTTTGAAAGATAAATTTAACGGATTAAGGATCTCTCTTCGTGTAGCGTTCAAACGTAAAGCACTCATTGTCATGTTCTCTAAAGGAGAGACCATATAATATTATAATATGTGTATATAATTATTCCATAATAATATGCATAATAATAATAAGCGATGGTCGAATTGCATAACATAGATAAATAGATTGTATGACCTCACTACTACCCACTTGTGATAATCATTGACAAAGACCTTGAGGTCGTTTCAATGAACAAATACAGAAAAAAAAAAAATAATTATAAAAGGTCTATGAGTTACAATAAATTAATTCAATATAATATTATTATCAAAATATATTATGTGGTTTTCAACACAGTAATGTACCTATTTTGCCTATATATGGCGCCGGCTAATAAATTATGTTAAAATTATAAGAATAATGTAAAAACACAATAAAAATAATCTGTTAAAGTGACCCACTATGAAGAACTGTATGATCAAATAACGTCACTTAAGTATTGGACAGGATTGTGTAATGAAAACCAAATAAATAAATTATCAAGTTTCTAGGTAATTCATTGATATATTTTTTACTCAATTCGTGTAATGTGATATTTATAAATAACTATCAAAAATAAAAAAAATGATCATATAATATCCTATAACCAGGAAGGTAATTAAATGAAAGAGGATAAGTTGACAAGATGGACTTCCAATAAATTTCAAATAGAAATACATAAAATGAGGATACTTTGTAATATGATAATGGAACAATATGTTGAATAAACTAATTAATTAATATATTAGCTAATGTTTTATAAAGACCAACCAAAATTACATCGTATAAATTGCTATTTATTGTGCATGCAGTCGAGAGTTATCATACGAAATACAATAACGAATGGTGGGTAGATCAAATTTGGACGATAAGAATCACAACACAAATATGAATAGTGCAGGTATGAAAAAATCTAAAAATAGCCGATTATGAACAAAAGTATACAATTTTTTTTGTATAAGTACATTTGTTAAATATACAGTTTCGGTAAATGGACGGAATTACGTTCCAGTGCATTAAAGGTAAAAGTCGTTACAAAGCATTGTTTGAACATTACATTAATATTTGACTAACCACATTAAAACTGTTATCTGAATACGTTTAGAAACTCACACTTTAAGAGTGCCTAGGTATGAACACACAATTAAAGTATATTAAGAACTCTTAATTTTGGTATATACCTATATATATATATATAATATATTGTTAAATAAGTTGCAACAAAGTGAAAAATATTTGTACTATATATTATGATTAAGATTTCTACCAAACATTTTGTCATATGGTTATATTTCATATTGATATAAAGTGAAGATTGATAACTGTAATGAGAATGCTTGTAGCCAAATGTAATACATTTAAATATAAAATTAAACACCCCTAAAATCCCTGAAAAAGACTCTCGTCGGGTCTAACCGACTATACAAAAATCGGTTTGTTTTAGGGTTTATTTTTTATATTCAGACGGACTGACAATGAACAAAAACATATATTCAAGACATAGGTAAGACATAATTATCATGATCCTAAATATGTGTGTGTAGGGAGCGACTAATGAATAATGAATATGTAGGTTTAGAAAAATACTGACTCTCAGTATAATATAATAAAAATATTTATTTGATAATAGATTTATGTTTTTAAAAGGAATTATAATCACAAATAAAATAATAAACATCTATTGAAAAGTACCTACTCTTAATCCTGAATTACAGAAAATGTAAGTGTCAAGGTAATAGACTAAGACATTTCTGGGGTCTCATACTGATCCCTTTATGACCAGAACTTTTGTTAAGAGCACATAAGTCACTCCACAAGACTTCAAATTTAAGCTAAGTACCATACATATTATTATGTGTAATTATACGATTAGAAGATTTGAATTAAATAGTTGTATTTTTGTTTAGAAATGTATAATATATAAGATATTCATTTTTATTTGTAAGATTTTAAAATTAATTTAAGACTAAAATTAAATACTTAGATATATCTATACATAATATTATATGAAAAGAATATTAAAGTTATACTTGAAAATGTTGTTCAAAATTTTGAGTACCTATTAATATTCACTTTTATTTAGGCAACACAAAATAATATTGATTTTATTTTCTGAAATAATTTATTATCAAAAACTTGAGATTTTACCAATTTTCAAGTTATTGCATTCACACTAGAAATGAGTTAAAAGAGATTCTATACTTATCATTTAGTAACACCTTTGATTAAATGTTTTATTTCTTATGGATATAATACCGTTTATTTCATGTAACGTATTTTAAATGACAGATTTACTGAAAGGATTTGAATCGTTGATTGATTTAATTATTTGATGACTGCTAATAAAACAATATATATGCTAGAATATTATGATTGACGTAGATGTTAGCCAGTACAATTAAATTAACTCTTAACTGTCATAATCACGCAAATACTTTTGACACTATTAATGTGCATAGTATAGGTACAAACTATTAACATATTATACTCAGTCCAGTGAGAGAACCGGTCATTGTCTTCTGAAATCGGTTTTTCTGGGCATCCCCACGTGACATCCTGTCACATAGTGGAACCAGTCTTCATGACAAGGTGTCACGTGAGGGTACACAGTATCGGCGTGTTCTCTCGTTGAATATAGATACGTTTTTGGGATGGATACAATTTTTTTTTATCGTAATCGTGATAAATTATTTACTATAACTTACTAACGTTATAGTTTAGCATTACAGTGCCTAGTTTTCTTCTAGAAACCGATAAATAATATAATTACGTTACTCAACCGATTTCACGTTACAATACCCAGGCTTCCCCTAGCAACCGGTGAATAATATAATTATGTTACCATAGCAACGAAAAAAAAATAACCACAAAAATGTTTCGTCTATGATAATAATATATTATATGATTCATTGTTTTTCCACGAAGTGAAGAAAATATCAAGTATTAGGTACACTACGTTTGTACTTTGATGAGATTAACTAACGGTCTTGAGTATAAGAAAATCTCTGATTTGTGTCTAACTGAATGTATGTTCACGAAAGAATAGCATTTGTTTTTTCTGGAAATTAAAATGAGATGACTCCGTAGAATTCATTTTTTACGTTGTTTGTGTTCAAATATTATATAAATACTATTTATCAGAAAAAAAAATACGGCGAAAGTGTAATTTTGTACAGACAATATTGTTGTTCGCTAAACACAAATAGTATTCTTTAACGCAGTTATATTTATAGGCACTGTTACTATTTATTAATTATTTTAGCCAGATTCATTTTTAAAATTATTTTAATAACATACGATGAAACCAAGGTTTTATTAAGATTTAAACTTTAATATTTTCATTATACTTACATTTTTATAGACAGAATAGAAGTTACCTAAAAGATTCATATTATGGTACCTTTATAGATAGAAAGTCTCATATAAATAATACTTCAAGGAGGTTATTTTTTTAGTATTTTTGTTCGGATTTGTTAGGATTTCCTCTAAAAATATCCCCTCAAATACTTGAGTACAAATGACAACAAAAAATGAAAGAGCGTTATTTCAAATGAAATCCGTTCATAAATGTTTTTCAATTGCAGTAATATTCAGTGCTTTCAGACAACAAGACCATTATTATGCGACAATATGCGCCAAAGTAATAAAAAAATTTCCCAATTTTTTTTTTTAATTATAAAACGTGATTAGTTAGTATTTTTAAGATGTAATCAATGTAGAAGGGCTACGGTTGTCGAATGAAACATTTCTCTTCAGTATTCAAGATAATTTTTAACACTTAGTGTTATTCGTATTTATCGTAGATCGTAACCTAAATTATTTGTTGTCTTAATAATATCCAACTAAATGTACATCATTATCATACATATAATAAATATTTTATTATGGTTGTTTATATGTTTGATCGTTACACTGATCGACTTAAAAGTATCGTTATTGACTGATGTAACCAAGGGATTAACTGTCGTAGGTTTATCTCACGGGTATCAGTTTATATTAGATTTATGATGACATTTACGTACCTAATATTAATTACATACGATTTATCGTTGTCTTAGTGCTTAAATTATCCAGTGGTATGTGATCAAATAATTTTTATTTAATCTAAATATACATATTATACAAGGTATCTGAACTAAAAAATTATCTTAATGAACAATAAACATAGATAACTGAACAATGAATTTAATAAACATAAATAGAACTGCAGAGATGTTCGTTTTTACATCTTATTTTTAAAAGACTTAATTTAGTATCATATATTTTTCTTTCTGCATAAAAAATATCAATACTAATATTAGTTTAGTTTATATCACTAATGATTATTTATAATGTTAAACTATTTGAATAATCATTCAGAATTATCGAGAAGGCTATAATGTCTAGCTTAGATGGAAGTTAGATACCGATTTCGTAATTAATCTAGATAAGGTGTATAGGTAAATTATCAAACTGAATTTAGCATTGCACAACATTGAGGCATATTGGTGAAAGATTGAAATGCCAGTGACTGCTACCAAACTTACCCACAATACAAGCCAATGACCGCTTCGTTTTTACGAAGAATACAAGAGTAAAAGTGGTTTCTCTAGATACATTATTATATGTCACTTTTTAAGTAATTATTTGGATACTATAGTTATTATGATAAGACCAGAATAAGTCAGTAAATTAGTAAATTCAACACGATGTTAATTTAATATGATGATGGACTCGATAATATTGTAAATTTACTTCGTTAGGTTCTATCGACATTGAATCAACCCTAAAACTATATTCTGAGAATTTCAATAATGAAGACGTTTTACAGTGGATTTTATGTGGTATATAAATTTCAATATTAATTTGACTTAGACATAATTTAATCAACGAACAAA